GATTCCGGCGAATTCATCGGCCGTTGCGTTGGGGGCCAGCGGAGTGATCGCCGAGGGAGAGCGATTTTCCGACGGACTTCGGGGCGGACTTCGGGGCGGTTGCCGAAGACGCCGCCGCCGTTGCCACGGCGACCCCGCTCGTCTGCAGCCAGCAGGTGGTTATTAAAAGCATGAAGGTAGCGTTGATTGTGCACTTATTACCCAAGGCCTTGCGCATTGCGTTTTGTAAATAATCTTTGTAAAGAGTGTTTCTATTATTAAAATATTTAAATGCACATAAGAACTTCTTATGATCATCTTCCAATGCAGCGCCAAACCCCTGGAAGCCCATTCACGAAATGTACCTGTCCTTTGTATAATTTATTTTGTCGTGAGAGTACCGCTTTCCAGGTACGTCACAATATATGTATATATACACGTGTGTGTGTATGTGCGCGCGCGCGCACGTGTGTGTATATATGTGTATATACCATATATTATAAGTAGTATAAAATAAAATACGGACAAGCGTTTACTTACCTGACGCTATTTGTTAACACTTGCATACTTCTTGTGCTTCGCCACAGTTCTCTAATCACGAAGGAGTAGCAAATAATCATAAGGATGCCAGGTGCCCCAAACAAAATTACAAATTGATAAACTGCAAATATCAAACCAGTCTTGTTGCAGTGGTAGATCGTAATGTTGGTGACTAGATTAGTATATATCACTCTTTCGGTCCCCTAGAAAAGAGAGTACAAATTAGCAAAAACATTGCGACAGAACAAAAATTTAGAGTAATGTTCTTCATGGGTTAGTTTCCTGCAGAACATTTGAATGGACATCTAACGTGATTAGTGAGTTTTATTATAATCTTATTCTGTTGACCGGACTCTTCGGTTAGCGTTTATCGTGCAATAAAGTTTCCTAGTTGTTGGGTATGTAACATGATAAGTCCAAGGAAGAAAAATGTGAACCGTTCTAATTTACGAATAAAAGTAATGTTCCGAAAATGCAGACGTAAATTTTAGAATATTTTGTAAGCACAACCACGATTAATAGACACATTTTAATGTGCAAGACACAATGCAAATGAATTTTGTGATGATAACTTTCCACTTTCCTCGGTTACGTCTTGCATATTCTCCTGTTACAAATTGCTAATCTTGTTGTGTTATCACCAGATGGCAGCTTTGTGTGTATTGTGATGTGCTGCACAGGAAGCAGGTTGGTTCTCGTGAACTTTCGAGGGCCAGCTTCGCTTTGGGGGTCTGCACGAATGATTCTTGAGCTTGAAGGGAAGGAGGGCTAAATAAATTATCACTATGAGGTCCATTATAAACTCTTAATTGTAGTGTTATGACGGATAAAGAAGCAACAAAGGACAGAGAGATGCAAGGGGTAGGGAATCGAGTCGACAATGAATGAAGACGCTTACCACATTACTCATGCTCCTGGCGTCTCTCGTAAAATATTTAAAGGCGGAAAAGTATGCCTAATAGCCGGAGCCTCGCCATCAATAAATGACATATAATAATAATTATTATTATTATTACTATTATTATTATACCTCCACTTCACGACTAAAGATATTATTAGGAGGATGAGTATAAAATCTATTCCAAGTTACAACCATCTTCGTAAAAAGAAGATCTAGGGACTGTAGGTGCATCTACTTTACTTTGAGCAAAATGTCGGCTGTCCCAATAAAGCAATATCTTGAACTTCCAAGTCTTTTGAGAGACTTTGGAGTTTATCCAAGTTATAAGGCAAATTTTGGGAAACAAATCCCAAGCTATTACGTCTATCTGGACGCCGGTATTAACCCACCGGTTTTGGTGAGTGTTAATTACTACTTTGAAAATGTAGTGTTTGGAACTTGGAAGGGGTTGTAGATCTGCTACTGGAGGTTGGGATAGTTTTTATTTTTCCTGGCAAAAAACAGCAAACGTCTGATCTAAGGGATCTATTACAACTGCTTTCGATTCTGGCTTCCCCTTTTACGGCTCATAAACGATCTCTCTTTATTGAGATGATGATTATTATTATTATTATTATTAATAATAATAATTAATAGTTGTTGTTTCCATTCCTCCAGCGGTAATGGCGGGATCCTTGGTGGTAGACGCCATTCTGGGGACTACTTCTGGCGTCACTACTCTGCTATTCTACCGGTATAGTTCCTGGCGGTACTGCCGGTCTCGCTGGTACGTCCCGCCCTGAGTGATCTGCCGGTCCCGTATATACACCGCCACTTCTTGCATTTGGCAGCACGTTTGGACGTTGCTGCCGAAGTGCTGTACAGTAACCCGCCGCTTGTCTTGGAAGTCGTCTGTACAACGTGTGATGTAATGCTGGTTCACTACAATATTTAGACATAATTGAATAACTAGATAACTAAATATATCACCAGCTACTACTTTTTTAAGGTCCATTAGATAAATAAGGACTATGGTCCGTTTCATTTTACGTATACGGTCATTTTTACTTTTGTTCATAATTTCAATAACGAATAGCCAAAGAGGGAGTACAGATTTTGGAGCTCAAACCCTCTGTGTAGATTGCCTTCCTCCCTGTGGGGATCGCATGGACTGAAATGGAGAAAGGACGAAAGAAAGGGCACGCGAGGGAAGGAGGTGGCGCACGCACCTGCGTGAGGAAGACCGGCGCCGTGAGCAGCGCGGCCGCCACCCACACGGCCAGCACGGCGCGCCGGCAGTTGCTGAGCGTGCAGTAGGAGCGCGACCGCATCGGGAAGACGATCACCAGGAACCTGCAGCATCAGACAAGCATTAGCCCCCACGCAGGCGCGCGCAAGTGGTGGTCGGAAGGGTTCCTTCCAGAGTCAGCCTATTTAATACATCTGGTGTCCCATTTACCCCGACAAATCAAAATTACTCGAAAAATAGGAATCGCACAAAGAATGTCTCAGACAAAAAAATGAATATTTCCAAGGGCGATATCTGTCCTGTCCTATGGCTCGACAGCCCGCTATGGACCTTGGCCGACCAGCGGTGACGCAGCTTCTTGGCCATGGAATAAGGGCTTCGTTTGGATGGCACAAAGACATCCCTCCACCGTATATACTGCTCTTCATAACATTAGGGTGGGTATCTCATCGTCGCATATCAATAGATACTAAGACATTTGTAAGAAAGTCGCACAGCAATTTCTTTGGACCAACCGGAAATCGAACTCGAAGTTGCGTCGTGGAAAACGAGCACGCTAACTAACGAGCCACCGATGGCATAAGGGACATCTGCCTGACCTACGATTGAACTACACCCCCGAACGGAGGGGGTGAGGATGGGGAACTATGAAATAATAATTGGAACCCCTATTTATAATTGCAGATTTGGATTCTGCACAAAAAACATAAGTTTTGTCAAACATATTTTTTAAAATTTCTGTTAGATGGCGCTGTAATCTCAATTTTTTACAATTCTCGAGAAATAACACTTTGAATTAAAACAATAATGAAACCCTTTTCAATTTTTAAATAAAATCATATCTAATGATAAATATTAAGCCCCACTCCATCCTACCACCGAAGGCTGGCGGGTGGCAACCTTAAAATCTCAAACTGAAACCCTCATTATTAATTAAATAATTAGATTTTAGGTATAGGTATTTTCATTCTCGGTTAGTAGCGTTCAATTTTTTTAAAGCTTGCACCCCGGTGGGTATGAGGCAAAAATTACTACATCCACTCGTTTCTGGGTGATTCTAAAAAAAGTTTGTTAAAAGTATTTCAACGATATCGTAAATGAAAAATAGTTACAAGTTAAATCTAATTCTTTAATGAAGCAAATAGGGTTTCCCGTATGAGACTTGAAACTTGCCACCCACCATACGTGGGGATATTATTATTACTATTACTATTATTATTATTATTATTATTATTATTATTATTATTATTATTATTATTATTATTATTACACAAATATGTTCAAATGAGTAGCATTTCAAAAAAGATTAACAATTTCTCATCCAAAACGAGAGAGAAGAAAATAAAAACCTGAAAAGTGCGCCTAGGTACGGGAGTTTCCCCTACCCTATTACGGGGTCCTGTATTAGCATTGATGAGTAAATCACCCTGTACAAGTTAAATTCTGATAAAAAATGTCTCCACTCTTCATCTCCCCCTCCGTTTCCATAATTAACCTTCATCTACGTTTTCTTATTTTGCACTAAAATTCTCATATAATTGTAATCCTCGTACCATTTATCAATGACGGATGGACGGACGGACAGACGGACGAACGTTTTGAAAAAAAACACACTTTTTTGGTATCAGGGGAACCCAAAACGTGTATTTCCGTTGCATATATTACAAAAATTTCCCAATACTGCGTGTAATACTCTATGTATACATACGTATACGGGAATGTACAAATCTGGAATCGTGGGGTTGGGAGAGCATGGCGGCCAATCGACGAGGCCTCTACTGCCAAACCATACACCCGGAGAGTGGCCGTCGAGGTGAGCATGTGCGTCATGTTGGTCGCGGAAACACGCTCCCGTGCTTGCAGACGGGCCGGGAACACGTTGCCCAACACGTCGGGCAGCCACAACGCATTGCACCTCGGACGCAGGCGAGTGGCGCACGCACGCACGCGCGCACAGGAACGCTGTCATTTCCGAGTCAGTCTCCCAACTGAACGTAATTATCTCATTACAGGGCTGCAGTATACGTCTCCATTTCCGTCCTTCACACTGTTGCTTGCTTGCAACTGATGCACCAGCGCAACGTTCACACTCACAGTCAAAGTGCAATCTAAACGGTAGTGTTTCGTTATCGCTGTAACGACGGTAATCTACATCTTTCTATCTACCTACCTATTAGTTGTAAGGCAGTAGAAATTAACATAAAAGTTAAGTTTAAATTTTAAGCTATGCATTATGAATTAGGTAGTGTGAATCATATATTAAGGTAACCATATAAAAGAGTGGAGGGAAATATGTAACAAATAATGTAAAAGATTACCAGTACTGTTAAAAGCTTAATAAATAGCGGAAACCTTTGGAACTAATAAACAAATAATGTAGATTATATAAATAAATATAAGCCGTTGTTGTGTTGTAGGTATTTATTGCTGCATAAAACTTCTTGGGTCGCATAGCGATCATCTTCAGTGCTACAAAAATAACGAAATATATGAATTAGAATTATTATTTATGATGATGAAATATTACTTAAGAAATGTAGTGAAAAACTAATTTTGTTAACTTTGGGAAAAAATTAAGTGAAACAGGTGCAACACTGTGTTTTACCTCTAGACGGGGATAGTTTTACCTTTGATTATTGTACAGAAATTGTAATAATAATTTAATATAAAACAGTTTTATTAATGAAACTATTTTTTGACATTGTAATATAAATATAGGACGCACATCACAAATAAAATTTACATATACTGTAAAATAAAATGCACATAAAAAAGGACTAAATAAAAAAGCACATAAAAATGCAAATCTGAATAAATATAGGCTAACTTTAAAATAATTATTTTTCTAAATTATAGTTTAAGCATATTATACCATTACACATAAAAAATCAAAAGCCTTTCGTGCAATACAAAATTAAAACCATCTATTCAACACTGAAGAATGATATTTTGACGCTAAACAACAAATGCTGTTGCAGGCGAACTGATCCACTTGCGCCTGCAATGGATTTGGGATTTGGAAGCTTCAACACAATATTGTCTTTGCTTCTCGGCATCTTCTCAATTCCCTGAAATAAAAAAAGAATAAAAAATATTCTGAAGGGAAGTAGCCATAGGATCTGTGGGACCTTCCACTTGTCAAAGATACAATTATGCTGGTCAAAGGTACAACACAAGCTCACATTTAACAAAGACAAGCAGGTTGATTTTGAGGTTAATTTTTTTCAAATAGTAAACTGCGATGCCATCTAGAATGCCTATCGTACATATTTATATTTTTTATTATGAAACAGAGTAAATATAATTCAATTCATTTCATAAAATAATCCAATAAATACTCACAATGATGATTACAAACAGATTTCTTTTATGCACGACACTCCTGAAACATTTCCAAATAAAAATATGATTTACACAAACCCTGGCGGCTGGAATATAAACTAGGAAAATAAACTTCTGAAATTTATTAGTAATATACACTCTGGCAAGGACTGGTCAAATGAAAACAGGTCCAAGTTACACAATCTTCCCCTACTGATGGGATAGATAACTTTTGGAGAAAGTATTTCCCCGTACTCATGCGAATCTGGCCAGGTGATTTCAAGCCGCAATCGAATTAATATCATTCCGGCATCTTTTACTAAATAAGTTGTTTATCTGGCAATAATAAGATTCCTCGTGGTATTCAAAATAAAATCTTACACAAGTCTGGCACAAGCCTCCGAGCTACTATAAGCCTCTCACATGTCTCCCTAAAGTATATGCGTTAGTATTTTTATATCTGTACAAGCCAGTATGCTACATAACCATCTAGAGGGCAACACCCTTCTGACAACAGCGCAAAATGGTTGCAGAAATGGTGCTCAAGTTTCCAAAGAATTTTTAATAGTAATTAAAATACATCACAACATTTCTGTAGGATGTATCGACAATTCTAAGGCCTTCAGCCTCATTCGTAGCTTTGGTACCTTATCTACCAAGTAAATGTACAATATAAAAAGAATAATTTTTCAGGGAGATAGTCGTGATACCTTAGGTCCACCCTAGATCTAAACCCTCTCATCACATTGTTACGAAATTCTGGATATAGATATGAAATCACAAAACGTCCTCATTAAACTGCAGCTCTACACCAGCAAAGTTGTTTTTTGAGTATGTAACTGTATTTACGTAACTCTTCAGTGACTACTTGTACAGAGTTTGGACGTGAAGAGAGGAAAACTACGTGATTCGTACAACGGTACAACCGTAGAACGCAGCTGCCCGCTGTGCGATGCGTTTATTGGCGGACTCCATTGGCACTATATATATATATATATATAATAGAGAATGTAGAATGCACGCGGCTACCTCTCGATTCCTATTGGTTACCCGCATGTGACTCAAGGAGGATGGACGTTGTTGTAGAGAACTGAAAAAGTTTATTCAGTGAAACAATTTCTCTGGGTTAATGCGTTAATAACAAGAAAATAATGAAAAAATTGGATGAGCTCATTTTTCCAAAAACTGTGTATAATTAGTTATAATTCTTAAAAAATCTAGTTACATTGAAATATTAAGAATTTTGTCATTTTCACGAATGCTGCATTTGCGAGATTTGTCATTACTATTACAAGTGATTAAAAAAAACTTTTATGTTTATACGTTTTGCCTGAAGGGCTTCGAAGGGCGACCTCACCCTTTTGTTGTCCTCGATGTCGTTAACCTGGCCAGCTGTCCCGGCTTCTCTCCAGGCGTGAAGGTCGTCTGGCCGGATAGTCTGACCGGCTCGGCGTGCCCAAGCAGCGGTGTGAGCCCCGGTGGCAGGTTGCAGTTCGTCAGACGTTCCCACACCCTCACGGCTCACAACTCACGGAAGGCAACAAACGAGTTTCATGCTCCATGCACTTCAGTATCGAATCAGCTAGTGTTCGTAGTTCATGTTCCTTTTAATCATTCTCGGTTTTCGCGACACTTAGCGAAATTCACCGGAATAGTAGTGTTCCGATAGCAGCTTCACGTGATTTATACAAGTTCAATAACTGTCTTTCAATCAGGGAATTACGCAAGCAGAAATGTTATGACATGAAGCAACACATTTGT